GTATCATATAATTTTGATAGTATTTTTCAAATATAGGTAATTAGGAAATGTTTAGGTACTAGTTGAAATTAAAAATGTAATTACTGTTGACCACTCAGATATCTATATAAGATTAAACGTGTTTTCCTCCTTCATAAGTTGCATAATAGATTAATAATATTGACCTAACAATACATTTATCCTGTATATTCTATAATACCAATCCAAAGTCTAGCATTTTAGCATTTTAGTACTGATTTGTAAAGAACGTGATTTTTTCTCATAAAAATTCGAGTCTAAACTATCAAATATCACTCTGACCTAATAACTGCAGTAATAAGCAATGATGACGTGTGTAACTTAAAAAATAATTGTAAAAAGCTAATAACTTGCACTATAAATAATTATTTATGAAAATATTCTTTCAATGGACGTTTAAGATATATTTCTACCTTTTGAATTTAAAAAAGAAACTATTGGTTAAAAAAATTTTTCGATCTAAAATGTCACGTGTTGCATTTTTTGTGAGTACGATATTTTTATTTAAAAAAATTGCATATAGATACTCAAGTAAGATTCTGAAATGGTAAATAGTTTTATACAAAAAATGATTCTGAGTGGCAATGCTTTGTCAACCTACCTATTCCTAAGGATATTTATTATTTTAGTTTTTTGCTATAATTGTAATACAGTATCATGAACCTTATTACTTTATTACTGATATAAGTCAATATTAATTACAGACTTTCCGTAGAATGATATGAATAGGTTAGAGGTATACAAATGGCTTAAGATTATAGTCTAGATATTTTGAAAATTTCATTGTGTATAGAAATAAATAATAAAAATATTTGTAATGATGTTTTGACAAAAACTTTCAAGTCCATCCGATTAATTTTATTTGAATTACTACTAAATAACTAAAGTTATAGTAAATTATTAGTATAGTATTTGTGTGTCGTGGGCGGGAAGTAAGCTATGACGCTTTTTATCACGCCATTGCGTCCTCTAAATCTATTTCATAGAACATAATAACGAAAGTAATCCACTGCTATCCACCAGTTGTTGTACCTACCAGCTAGTGCCTAGCATTTGATGTATAAGATAAAACAAATCGAGCATAATATGTATTATACACTGATTCGGATTATAAACAGTTACTTTTAACAATATAGGTATCATATAGAATCGAGATTCGAGACGGTCGTGTGAACAGATTCATGGTATAAATAGCTAAGAATTATTCTAAATATTTTGATCATTTCATTGTTTGTATGAAATTATAACACGGATAGAGGTAAAATGTTCATACAAAGGTATAAAATTATTTGAACAACCACTATCAAAATATTATTTTTCATTTTAAATATTAATATCCAATTTCATCGACATTTGAACCTAGAATGTACATAATATAAAATTATGTTAAGTTTTTCAGATTATTAGGTTTCTATAATAACAACTAATAAGATACCTTAAATACAAGTTTTGAACTTCCAAACCTTAGCTAGTTAACTATTAGAAATCAAAACTTAATACATTTTGAACAAAATTTTTTTTTAAATTTCAAGGTTTCGACAATTTTTCAATTTGTATTTCAAAAGCTTATAAAAATGTTTTTGTGCCTATCTATATTCGATTATTTTTTAACTGCTTCCAGAACAACTTATGTGAGATCTTGCCTTAGATTTTCAAAAAAAATTATAACAAATCTTGAATTCAATTTTCAAATAATTATAATAATAGTGATACCTAATATTTAAGATTGTATATTTTTTTAAGTACAAAATAATTTGTACATTTTTGTTAATGAAATTTGAAAAATTGTATTTCTTAACTGAGGTAGAAATAACTTTTAAAGAATCTTGTATTAAATGTTCAGGCTTTTTAGTAAAAATCAAAAATGATACATAAATCAACAAACGAAACTAAAAAAGTAGAACGTTTTGTATGTCTATAATTATATAAATAGCAAAAAAGTTAAAAAAATTTTAAAAATTGTATATCGTGTTTTTACACTTTATAGTAAATGGCAGTACGCTTATTTGGTGAACAATTCAAGTCTCTACATTTTTTTTTTTTTTTATACAAAATAACTATATCTATTTTTTTTTGTTTTACTAAATTATTTTAAGTATACTAAGGATTTTTTACATTAGCTCAAAGTACATGCTAGATCAATACATTAATCCACTCAAAATGTTAAATAATATATATATTAAAATATATATATAAATTATATTGAATTAAAAATGTTTATGAGTTTCTTAATTGAACTCCAATTATTTTTTACTCTTGCTACTAAATGCATAAACATTCAACAATACTTTAATTAATACCAATTAAACTTATTGCAAAGTACCAACAATCGAATTTTATGTTGCAATCACTAATCAGTATAATATATTATATTACAATGCATTTTATATTACAATTACCTAATGCTACTATTTGTTTTTATAACAATACATTCAAAAAGTTGTTGAATTATAATTATATTGCATAAACTGAAAGATAAAACAACTTCTAGTATTTAGAAACTGAATTAAATCATTAACGTTTACATGACATAAGTCACTAACATCAGAAGTTTAAACTACGCAAAAATTGATCTTCTGCAAATACTGATATATACGCATCGAATTTTCCCGAATAAATGAAAATATGTCTAACTACGCTTTAGAATAAATTCCAAGTGCCTTTTAGTCTTCGGATTGCTTTTTATCAGTCCCCTCTTGAAGTTTTAACTTTTGAATGATCTACATACAGTGGCCGAGATTTACTCTTGCAAAATACGTGTCATTTAAGCACTAATTACAATTTACAATGATACAATGTTACTATAATTTAAACTTACGATGTTTGCATAAGTATATTTTCATACAATTATCTAATGTATTATATTTATTTAAATAATTTACAACATAATAAAAGATATAGCCATTTATCAGTAGTCGATTACCAATTTTCAAAATGATCAAAGTATACACGCCACAAGACAAGTTAAGAGACCTTTTATATTCTATTAGTCATCACCACTATATAAATGACTTCTACAAAAATCAGGATTTTTTAACAAAGTCTTACATTTACCTCAATTATATATAGTATACTGCACTTTTTATATTTTCCCTCAGAATATTATTATGATTATTTAAACTTATTAGTTATTAGTTAATATGATGACTATCATTATAAAATTACTAATACATATAAATATTATAAAAAAAGAACCACCTTAATCCTAAATAATAATAGTTATTACTTATTAGTTTGGGAATACATATTTTGTAATATGTTATGGACTTATAAATAGTCAAATACACAAATAGACAATAATATAATTCTTTTTAAAAATCTAAATAATAATTATTTAACAATAACGTTTATAGGTATGTATTATTGTAGGCATTGTAAAAGTACATTTTTTACGTAATTTACAGCTATAATGTTATGTACGTAAATTTCATTTTTTTCCATTTAATTATTGTATTTTTGTCTATGAAACACCCAATATGATTAATACTTGTTAAAATAACAATGTAAATTTCCCTGATGTTCATTAATACCTATTTAATTTTGGCTTGTACCTATTATAGTAAGTTAGCCTTAAATAAATTGTTGTTTTTAGCCAATACCTAACCTTCACCTATTATTTAACATTAACCATGCAGAGAATGTGATCACAAAGACAAAGATAAATACATCTTTAAACGTATATTGTGGTTTTGTGTAGAATATCAAACATAACAAAGGTTGTTACCATGTTATTGTTACATTTAATAAAAGGTCCATAAGTGTTGAAGACAAAAACTAATGCTAATTATTTATATGCGTAGTAGATGTAGCACGCATAAAAACATTTATACCTATAAACTACTTGTTTGGATATATTATGTAAATTAAAATATAGAAATAATTATTTTATACAAGACGACGTTTCATATATGTATAACCGAACTCTGAAGGCTATAAAATAAACCAACACGCATTATATTGTTTTTATTAGGTAGGCTACTTGGTTTTCACGACAAGGATTAATATATAAACAATAAATAACAACGTCGAAAAAAACATTTTCTTGGGATTTAATGTTTTTAAAAACTTTTTAATGTATTTAAATTATATATATATATATATATATATATATGTACCCTGTTGAATAGTGTGTTCAGGTTTCAATAACATTTAAACATTTATTTTGATGTACCTATAGAGACGTCGTCCAAAACTATTTTGTGAAATCGCCAATACGTTTTCGGCGGAGTGGCTGGTAAGCTCTTAATAATAACAACAATAATGTTTTAAATAAAGTTGTGGAAATAAATAATCGTACGCGCAACAAAAATAACGAAAAAACAAGCGAACTGCGCGGGCGCGCTAGCAAAATTACTACGCTAAAACTGTATTGCCTATCAAAACTATAATAATAGACTATTGTACTACTTAACAGTTAACTGCTCAAGAACTACAAGTACACATGGGTGAGGGTAAACACTAAATTTATAACATATAAACGGTACTGGTACTCACTTAAAGTGGACAAATCGACCAATGGTGCTGGTGCACGTTGACGAACGCAAAAGAAACCATCGATAATATTATACTGCTGTGGCCGCCGCGGTATCAACTATTGTAGCACGTCGTCGTATTGCCCGGATAGCACTGAATGAAAATGCGTCTCGTCTTGAGCAAAACGCGGCAGCGTCTCCCTTCCCAAGCGTAAAAAAAGATTCACCTTTGGCTTTGACAAAACTGCAGCAGCGAGTGGACAGCCGCGGCGGCGGCGGGCGGCTCTCTATAATATTATATTATAGTGGGTATATCGCGCGGAGGAACGCGAAACGGGATTATGAACAAAGCGAGGGAAATTTTACCTGAAAGTTGACGGACGTCATTAATGAAAAAAATAAAAATAATACTCGTGTGACACGCGTAAATTAATCGTCAACACAATAATATAAATATAATAATAATAATAATAATACTATAGGTACCAAGGTACATACGTAATGATATTAATATTATGCTATCTTCGGTGTATGATTTTTTTTCTCGATTTCGACGCGCAGTATTCGCGTCAACGTAGGTACATAATATATTACACGCGTACACAAACACACCTCACACACACACATACACACCTTACACACACACCGCAATTTATAGGTACCGGAATAAATTTCTTCTGCTCGCCGCGCAACTTGAACGTATGTACGCGCCGCGGCGATTGAAATTATTATCGTCAAACCGGTTTTGATGTGCAACACTTCGATTTGAGCTTAAAAAAAAGAAGTGCTAAAATATTTTATTGTACTATTATATGTGCAGATCTCGATAAATGTTTATCACCGACATAACAATAATAATTCGCGTTCAGTATAATAATATATTATAAATTGTGGTGAGAATAAAATATATATATAATAATATGTAGGCATGTAGCCGTCTATATGTACATAGAGTTGCGCCTGAAACCCGTATATGCGGGCGTTTTTCGCCAATGTTTGTGCCCGTGTGCTCGCGATTATTGCGAATTGGCGAGTACCTATGTACGCGTATCGGAGATTGTACGGACAATGAAATACCTAATAATTGCACAATGAAACAGTACTACAACAATACATAACAATATGACCACGCGTAAGTGTTTAAGTGTGTAGTGTGTACCCAGTCACAAACGGCAGGGTTAGAGGATGAAAATATATAATTTTAAACTAATTTGACACGTTTTGTTGCTTTTAAATTCTGTTTAAATGCACGCGTGTCAGACATTTTATCATGTACGCAGAAAAACAGTAATATCCACGCTCACGATTTAGAAAAAGAGAGAGTTACATATTTCAGCGAGTTTTGAACGGCCGTTTTTCACGTTTCGTTTCGATTTTTATTCATTTGAATACATTTAATAGTTAATTCACTTATACACATTATGTAATATAGACATAGTACAGACGTCAGACATACAGTATTAGTATTATTATCATTTATATTACTGTCGATATTGTACTATTATATTCTACATTGGATCTAAATATCTCATGACCCCTTAAATTTTAAATAAATAAATAAAATGAGATACAGTAGAAAATATGTATAAATGTATATAATTATATAATACTGAGACGTCTATATTATTGTCGCCGCTGCTGAATAGTAAATATATTATAAACATAAAGGCAAGAGACGAGACATTGATAGCATAATATAATCGCGATTTATATATTATGCCTATTGCAACTATTTGCCTATTGCTTATTATATTGTTATAGAGACAGTATTAAATAGTGTTATATTAATCGAATAAAGCGCAATTACGTTTAAGTACCTGTGCTAAAAAAAAATCGGATAATTATCCAACCAATCGTTCTGCCCAAATTACTATTATACGCATGATGGGTTAAGTGATATGTGTTATTACTTATTAGTTATTATAAACTATAGTTAATTACAAACTCAAGCGGCTGTACTATAATATATACTATTGTATAGCTACGTACTACGTGCATCGTGCATAAACTATGTACAAGGTATTCATCACAACTTATGTATAATGTATATAATTCTATACATTTTGTTCTGTTTCCTTATTATTTATTTTTTCCTTTTTTAAAAAATGGCTGCATTGATTAATATTTTTATAGATAGAGTAAGATAGAGAAGAAGAGAATAAGATAGATAGTAATACTTATACATCAGTAAAAAATTAAGTACTGTACGTCGATTTTATTTTGATAGGTAGGTATTTGTATGAACGAAATAAAAAATATTTTTTAATATATGTTTACAGATAACTGTACAACGTCAATTGATTTTGGTATAACTGTTTCAAGTGGTCGGCCAAATAATGTATAGTAACAAACAGATATAATACGTACATATAAAATATGTTTAATACACAGTATTCATTTGTTTATTAATTTATTATAATGCGTCTACGCGGACTTGTTAATTTTTCGAATTTAATTTGTACTCTGACCGTCATCCGCAAATGCGCCCTACTTAATCTGTGCAAGTTAAAAATACATCTCAACCGGTATTTTGACATGCACGTTCCACACGCGACTATGTGAACAAGGCGAACAAGCCAAACAGAATACAATAATATACTTATCTATGCATTAGCTTATAATCCCGCAGTGTGATCACAAAAAAATACTAGATCTATGATCCAAATCCATGATATTATTATATTTCAATACTTGTACCAATCGACTAACATTTTAATCTTTAAGGACTAACGACATGTTGACGTGTCCATCGACTAAATTTGCAGATTGATCCTACATTGACACGAATATACGGTTGTATGGCGTAATTATTTATTTAATTGTAGAAGTACCGATTATTACAGTAGAATATAATAAAATATTACACTTTGGCACTTTACTGGTGAATCATGGGAACTACCAATTATTCATTATCATTTTTTCGAATGTACCTAATAAATATAACTATGTCAATGAATTACCAGTATTGATTTGCAAATACTACTTGTCTGCAATTTTACATAAATATTTAGGAAAAAACTAAATTAAATCAATGTTATTACTTACTAGTTAATTTTTTAGAACGTATTTGCTATTAGTAAATATACTTATATTACATTGTTGTATTTATTAAACATTAACAAAAAAAAATATTCCAGAAATGGATACATCTTCAACGTTATGCATATCTAGTATAAAGCATTAAAAGTTAAAGGTACACTTTCTGTTAAAAATAGAAAACTTTTTCATTTTATTATTGATTATGGTCATCTTTTGAAGTTTTCCAAACAATCGAAATTCATCAGCGGTTTTAATAGAAAGTCGGAGAATTTCATTTGGCACTTAATAATGTATTTTGATCAGTTTTAAATAGGTACCAATCGATATCTCTTGAATACAAAACTAATACAAGTATTTTACCGTACTTAATAGACATACACGTTGTGTATTGTTGAATGTTGATTACAAGATGTAAACAAAAATGCAAAATTTAAACCCAAGAGTTATGAATTATGATCATATACGGTATACCTACATATTAATAATAATATTTCATTTTTGATTCTATTACTTAATATTTATGAACTAGTCACATTAAAGCCTATAATTGTGTAAATATATAGGTTATTAATAATTACGAATTTTGCTAAATGATGTTAGGATTAGGCACTATTATTACAAACCAAAAAATATTCTTTATGTATTATCACAGCAGTAAAACGTATCCATATGAAAACCGCATTTGAAAAAACAACGTATCATAATAAAATAAAAATTCCAAGGAAACAAATCTAACATTACATTCTATTCCGGGCTGTCTTGTCTTACCTAATATTTTAATTTTAAGTTTAAATATACCATCGTTTATTGATTACCAATTTTAATAATACATAATATGGACAACATGGTATAATATATATATATAGTAGCTATAGGTTACAACCTTATAGGTATAAGTATAATCTATATAAGAATAAAGGATTCACCATTCATACATTTCCAAACAAATAATATCAAAATATAAACTCGTAAAATATGTAGAATATATATTTTTGTAGTTTCCGTAATATATATAAGAAATGTTACGATATAATAATACCTATATAAATATATAATCTTTATATATTGGTGTCTCGGTCTTTTTTAATTTTCGTAACATATGGTATATGGATTTTAATTTTCATGGTAACTGAACTTGATCTTTTTTTTTTATTTGACCGTGTCAGAGGTTGGATATTATTCAAGGACAATACCTTCGAATTGGTTACAGATTTTTGATGTACCATTGTTATTTGTTGTTATTTCGAGCAGTTGCGATTTATAGGATCGTGGTACAAGAAATTCAATTTAAACCTGTTTCACACTGCGTTCAACAAGAAACCAGTTTTTTCTTGTTTTATCTTCCATCAATTATCACAAAGAATTTATATTCTCATAAATTTGATGTCTAATTTAGCGAATAAAACTTTTAAAATAGCAACAATTGTAATAGTCTATGCCCCATGGCCTATAGGATTGATAACAGAATCTATCCAATCATGTAAAATTATAGTTTTAAATTTTTATACATTCAAACAACACTATATACAATCATAAATCAATGTTAAAAAATATTTTCTTAAAACCCATGTGTTATTTTAAGTTTACTTTTTTCTGTTATAATAATGAGGCTCATAGCCAATAGTCATTTTTGAAATAAACAACCATTAACTCGTAAACAAAATACAAATATTAAAAATATTATTACGTCTATAAAATGTATTGTGCCAATCTAATGTTAGAAAATTTACAAGCAGTGTAAACTCCATGTAACAATTGCCAAGACATATACTATACATTACAAATGATATTTTTCATATTATAACTACTTTTGAACTAAAATGCACTACTTACTTAAAATAATAATTGTGTAACTTGTATTTAATTGGTATACTTAAATATATTATTGTTTACAAATAAACAATATTTTCTTTTGCAACATTTTACTTGAACTTTGAAGATGGTTTTTGCTTTCTGGTAGTTTATTCGATTAAGTTGTTAAATTGAAGATCAACAATAGGGAACTCTTAACATTTTTTATATTAGGGAAAAGAATAAATGATAACAAAAAAAACAAAAGAACAAGCTCAATAAGTTGTTTTTTACTAAATAGAATTAATTGTTTTGTTGTCACTCAAGAAGGTATAGTTACACATCTTTACTAAATGTTTTCGTTTTTTTCTCTTCTTTTTCATTTTCAAAATATCTTTTTTCTGCGTAAACATGTTTTCTATTTGTTGTTCTTAAAGCATTTTAAAAACATAACAAATATTTGTTTTTTACAATCGTTTATGTTTAAATGATGTTTAATATGAAAATTATTAAATTAATAAAAAAAATTAGAATAAACTTCAAAACATTTTCAAATTTAATACTTAAAATGTCATTCTAGATTCCTCATAGGATGTTCTTACCGAAAGTTAAAATATGATATCAAAAATACTTGCCACATTTTCTTTTTGCAGTGTCATTCAAAAAAATAGAAACTTTAAAATGTCCATCATTACAAATACAATAATTTTCTAGATACAATAAAAGATGTTTTCAAACATTCAGAGCAATATGAAGTTAATCATATCATGAACATATTGTTTTATTCTATGGTATATTGACTTCAGATTTTTTTTTTTATATAAAAATTAGTGAAACCTATCAAATTAATAAATTGCTAACCATACATATATTATACCTTTGGAAGTTAATAATAGAAACAGATCAGCCACATGGTCCTGTGTTCAGAATCATTTTTCATATACATTAGTTTATACTAATTTATACCACCAAATTAAGTTGCAAAAGCTTATTAAAATTTAAAAAAGCAAGTTACATGGGTTTATATGTTATTCTTGATATTGTAACAAACAGGATCATAATAATAATAAAAATATAACACATATAACATAAAAAAAACAATATGAATCAAAAATCAAAACAGGTCATCTAATTCTAAAAGTATTGTTTTTTAAAACAATTAATCAATGAACACATCATATTTTTTAAATTTTAAATAAATTTATTACAAATGTCAATCAATATATTATGTTAAATTAAACAATTTATGTTAAATTACAGCAAAAATCAAAAAAATATTCATTTATGGAATTACAGTTTTGGAATATAAGAAAAAAATCTATATGAAAAATAACATAATTATGTATTATATATTATTGGTGAATCATGAAAAAATTAAATAAAACAAAAAAAAAACTCCAAAAGTAAATCTGAACTTCAGTATCATTACATATAAAATTATAAAATGATGATTACAAGGAACATCTAAAAATAATAAATAATATATTAAAACATGTAATTATAAATATTGGTGAATATACATTTTTATTATAGTAAAATCATCATTTAAAGTAAACCATATCTTATTTATACGCTTTCAGAAAACTTCTTTTAACATACCCCTCACTCCTGATTTCGGATTTTTTAAGTCTATTGATTTCTCATCAATACGGAAAAGAACTGTACGGATCTATTACATTTCACTTATTTAAATATTTAATAAAAATTCAAATTTTTAATATTTTATAAGTTGTTGTTTGATAGCAATAAAATATGTGATTAAGTAATGAAAGCATATTTACCGGAATGATCTACGTCAAGATGTTATTAGTAATATACTAATATATATAGGTATAATTAATGATGCACCTACCAGTAAATGCAAGAATACAGTTTTGTTAAAAAAAAACAAAGTCTAAGAACAGTCAAACATTTAAGCTTTTAATTTGTATGTAATATTTAGATGTAATGTTTATAAATTCAAATAAAAACATTTTAAGTTTAAAATACCTGACAAATTAAACAAACATTTAAAACTAATACATTTAGTAACAAAATATTCTCAGAATATGGTAATATTGGAGAACATTAATCCTCAGGTAAAGAAATATTTCAACTGTACAATTGTATACAAGTACCAATCTTTAGACTTTTAACTAATTTTAAACATTTTTTATAAAGACATTCAAGTTAAGTTATTTTTATGTACTTTTAACTCTCATAATATTTAGTTAGTAAATAAGAAATAAGAATGAACCCACCTTAAAAGAAATATTACTTCCTTGTGTAAAATTGTATTACTTTCATCGGCGTCCAATCTATTGTTTAATATTCAATCCACTTGTTTTTTCACTGGTACAGTTTTCAGGTGATTGAGTACACAATGTAAACGGGGTTTCTTCTTTTTTCCAATCTTCAAAGGTCAATACTTTGTTTTTGACTTCATTACTTATTGTAGGAACTACATTTGATTCCTAAATTAATATAATTTTTAGTTATATTTATGATATTTTATTTCATATATGATATTATAATTACCAAAAAAACCTAATTCATTTTGCTTACCAGAGTAAAAGGAAATTCAGTACCAGAAAAAGTGTTGTTTGTCCAGTTACAAGCATTTGCATTCATTTCTAATTTTTCAATTCTATTATTATAACTAACAGTATTGGCCAAGTATAAATTGATATCGTTCAAAGTATTAGTAATATACGATGGAGGAGAAAAATATGTAGTTCCTGAACTATCCATATAACCTATATTACTTATTTTACTTTCAGATGAAGCTGAATCCGACTTATTTTGTTCATTTACTTGCGAGTTTACCTAAAAAAATTGTATCCATTATAAGCTATTTATATTTGTTTATAATTTATAAATAATTGATTCTTATAATTATTTATACTTTGAGGAAAATATCAAACAAATCCTTTATTTTATCGACAAGATGTTGAATAGTTTCCTCTTGTTGACCAATAATAGCTTTCATATAAACCTCTTTGGACAAATTTAGTGACTTGTTAATAGACAATGAGTCATCTGGTAAAGGAGAGATTTGGTTTTTTTCTGGGAATTCTCGAACAACTGAAAACTAAACCATTTATTAGATTTATTTATATTTAATATTATAATGACATTTTTTTTTTATATTTAGATAATAACTGTTCTTTTATAAAATAATTGAAATTTACCTCTTGATCACGAGCCCAAAATGTTATCTTGCCATCATTAACTAAGCCATCAACTAAATCATCAATAAATTTTTGAATACTTCGTTTTTGTTGTGAAATGGCTGTGCTTAATTTGAATTGTTTGTTAACTACCTCTAATGTATGAACCAAATCTTTTTCAAATGTCACTAAACGTTGTTCCATAATTTCATTATTTTCTGTTAAATCTTGAATCTAATTGAATAAATTTGATTAAAATTATTTTTCTTTATATAATTAATACTTAATATCCATACTTTTGCGAGGTATGCACTTTCAAGTGCAGAAAAGTTGTTTGATGCATTACATTTATTACATTTATTTGTTGACCATTGTTTTGGTTTCAATTTTTCACTTTTTATTACACTATTTTGTGATTGAGGTCGATTTTTGTAAAATGAGCGTGGAGTTGGCGATTGTCTACGTAATGGTTTGTTGCGGTTAGAGGATGACTGATGAAATAATCATACAAAATAAATACACACAATTATAGCAATATATTTTTAATGTAAATGGTTAGGTTAGCTACATATCACATGATCATGTAAATTTAATTATCTTATATGTACTAATAACTGTTATAATTATTTTTATTTTAAATTTCAGATGAGACATTGAAAAGTGAAAGAATCTAATAAAATGGACTTTTTAAACAATCTTGAAGGAATAGTAACCAAGAATGGGGATATGGTAACATTTATAGCTGAAGATTTGGAAAACAAACTGAAACAGACCAGCCCAACAATGCCTACTAGACCTTTAGGAAGATTTGTTTTAGATGCCAATTTACTAAACGACCTAGAATTTGAAGCCAGAAATATTGCTGCATCTGTAGATACATTATCTGAATCTCTCTCAGGAGTTTTACATAGCATGTCTGCATTAACTGTTGACTGTTTGGAAATATACAGGGATGTGGTTTGTAAAACATGCGATTCAATTGATGCTAATATTAAATCTATGTATCAATTAATGGCTAAATGTGAAGAAGTCTCGAAAGAAATGGAACCCATCTATAAATTGGCTCAACAAGTTAAAGATATAAAACACATTTTAGATTTATTTGAGAATGCAGTTAATTGATATCATATTTGTAATAAAATATGCATTAAAACAATTGTTCTGAGTAAGAATGTTTATTTAATATGTAAAATTTTAATTATTATCATTGTCAGTCATAATAAAACTTGTATTATCAATGTATGATGTATATATTATTATATTTTAACTATTCATTACAATAACTTACTTTTGGTTATAAACTTATGGTTTTTTTTATGTTAAAATTGTTAATAAATACTTACAGATAATCGACTTAGCTTAGAATTGTCTTTAGTTTCATTTTGTATAGATGAAGGAATACAGTTGCAAGTTCCAGATTGATGAAGAAATATAAAGTACTCACTTCTGCCTAATATCTATTAATACTTAGTATTAATTAAATACCAACTGAATGCACCAATATTGTTACAATATATCAATGTAATTTTTTACCTCTAAATGTTGGCTTATATACATTAATTGATAATGTTTCTCACATTCAACGACATCTTGAAAACACTTTTTCTCCATGATAACTGATTTAATTGCCAAATTTGCTACATCACAATCACTATCAATAGTTTTATAAGCAACTTGTTCGTCTACTCCAGACCATCCTTTAGGTATTAATGCTATCCAATCTTTAGAGGATACATTTATAAGAGCCTAAAATAAAAGTCAAGGAATGAGAATTTATGACTTTTAAATAACTTTAAAACAAAACTTACTTCTTGTTCGACATTATAATCAACAACTAAATCATTGTCTATAAAGTAACTTTGATGTACAAAAATCTTGACTATTTGTTCCATATTGTCTTTAATTAAATTTGTGATATCTCTATTGTACAAACAAAGTTATATTAATTTTGTACATATATTTACATCCTCCACATAAAAAATAAATATGAAGATGTCATGACTATATAGTAATACATTTTATTATTATTAATCATTATTAACTACTCAGAAAACTAACAAAATTGTAACAAGAATAGTATATAGAATTTCTACTTTGTAGTTAATATATTATTATTACAGAAGATATTATTTTCCTGTTATTATATCTGTTGTATTATATCATTAAATAATGTAGGTATAAACCTATGACTAACCTATGACCTAACCTTTATGACTATATAAAATATAATATCCTACCTATAGGTATACTTAATAATTTTAATTCTCAGGTTCATTTATAAAACAATTAAAAATTGTATAGATACAAGTATTTTTGGTTGATATTTTTCATTCATTGCAACTAGGGGCCTAGTAGGGCCTACTCATGATTTTTCAGTAATCACAATTTAGTAATTATGACTACCCAAAACAGCTTAATCTTTATTATTATGGATAATAGTTCCTATAAATGGTTGCACAAAAAACCTATATGTAATATTGAATCTATAGTATTTATCACACGTGGGCCATTTTAACAAATTATGTATATTGATCGATTAATATTAATAATAAATATAATAACTAAGTACTCATACAAATTTTACTAATTACATTGGTATTTGTTAATTTTTTATACATTCTATATCTACACATATTGGTCACTATTGATCAGTAAATCATAATAAAATAATGTTTAGCAACTTTTAATTTTATTTTTGTATAATATTTTTTGATAAATAAATAGACATAATACTCTGTAAATTGTCCCTGTAATTAAATATGGTGTTCAAATTTAGTAGAAGCAATAGCTGAATTGCAAATAATGACAACTGACAGTAGTCTCCTACTGCTTAATCAAGTACCTACCTAGTCGCTAATTGTGATGACCGAAAAGTGCCCATATTTTTGAAACCAGGGACAACATTGATGTAGGAAATGATTTATGTAGGTACTTAATAAAATAAACAGGCCGATATAGTTATTCATAGCCAATACAAATGTAACATAGACAATATTAACGTAAGTACTTAATAATTTAAAACGAAAAACCTTCAATAGATTCCTCAAACAATCTTTAAGCATACCCACCTATAAAATATTATTTAAAAATTGTTTTAATGTACATACTTAAACTCATTAATACATTTAAGAAACAAAGTATGAGTTTATTTAAGTGCCGCATAATAAATGATTAATAGCAATTATTAATGACATAAAGAACAGGAAGAAAAAAAAGAGTACCTATATTGTCTTTGCAAATTATTCAATTCTAAGAATGTTTTAAAAAACTTGAATAAGTATTAGTACCTACCTAAGTAATAAATTTAATACCTATCTGTGAATGCAGTTCAAGCGAACTTTTATGAGTAACTATGCACAATAAGTAAAATCCTATTCATTATGTATTTATGCAATATGTACCTATCTAATAATTAACAAGGCACTACAGCGAGCACTATACGGTCTATGATATAAGGATACGTTTTGATGTTATACAAATACATAATGGTGTACTTACTGAGAATAAGTGAACGGAAAAAAACCGTCAGCAGACACAAACGACAGATGAAAAAACAGAAAATACCTAATGGCAAAATGCAAATACTGAATGAACGAAGTTCAGTAAGAGAAATGATCGTTGTCACTCGTCACCGACGGCAACACACAACTAGAAACATAGAATAAACATTTGACTATCGATTATTCGATTATCGTAATATTATATTTAGCCGGATACAGACGATACAGTAGAGGCCATAGGGACATAATTACATTAATGCTAAATAATCGTAATTTCATTTTCTACTTACTGCAATTCTGCGTAATTTTCATAATTCTGTTAATTCATATTATTTAGTTATATTTAGCCAAAAACGTACAACATAATGGCCTTTGTTAAATAGTCACCGGAGAATTCACCGTTGAACTGGTAGCCCAAAGACGCTATACAATTAGGATTTCATTGATCTCTTCTTGTGTTCCCGCATTTTTTTAGATTTTCAAATTATGTCATAAAGGAGGGATATTTTCCGCATAACAAATATTAATATGCCTTTATAAATATTATCTAAGGTGGACAAGTTCAATGTGCATTTACTAAGTAAAAAGTTAAGTGGAAAAAATGATTGTTTTTACTTCATTAGTTTAATTGACTGTTGAAATAACTCAACTTTCTTCAGTTAAGTTATAGTTAAGATACCATAGAGTCATTGACTAAAAGCGAATAAAATAATTAAATAATAATAATACTTCAATACTTTTATATTTATTGATAAAATTATATTATATGTTATACGGATAGGCACAAAATACTTTAAGTGAACCGCGTACTATAATTACAAAAAAGTAGATGTATTATTTAATCTGGGATAGGTTAATTTTTTTCATATTAATTTTAGACTTAGCCAGTTAAATTACTACAATTTGTTTACTATTAACTTTTACTCACCTAACAACCTTGCGTTCATTAAACTTTACTTGGCTTGAAAATTATTTACATTCCTTCAACCTTCTCACTGTGATATAATTAAAAATGCCTCACAGAGCCGTGGACGGCTTTGACGCACCACACGCTCAACTTGGAAACTTTTTGCACATATAGTAAATATAATATATAAATTATTTAGGTATTTATATATTTTATTATATTATTATTTATAATTATAATATTAATGATAAAAACAAATAAGTAATAATAATAATAATAATAAGTAAAATATTTATGTAGAGTACTCTTTTTATTAATACCTATATTAAGAATTTACAGAAAAGACTTATTGGGATTTGGGGGTTACCAGTAATCAGTTTTGTTAAGTATTCGAATACTTTTTTCATTCTAGTGTTCTACTCCAAATTCCAATTTCCAATATTTCGTATTGTATATTTGTACTGTTTTAGATTTTATTTCTAAAATATTTTTCTATAATGCTTCGAACTTCTGAGAATTTATAAATAAGATTTCGCCAAAATACAAGCAAATAACAGAATGACTGAAACCTAAAATATTATGTAATTCATATCATATTATGTGTATTATACCAATATTGAATATATTGCTTTTTGTTCTACTATTATTATATCATAATATGTGTGTGCTTTATTATCATAATTATTTACTATACATAATATCTAACTTTCTGAATTTTTACTTTTCGCAATTAGGTAACAGGTATAAGTGTTAACTAAACAAAAATAAATATTTCAATATAAAATGTATTGAACTAAAAAAAAATATTTGTTTTAATATTTTGAATACCGTCAAAAAGTATTTGTAATTATATTTAAATACTTTTAAGAGAAAGTATTCTTTACAAGACTGCTAGTAATACACAGTCCACCTTAGCATACACATAATACTCAAATACTTTTCAGAAGTATTTGAAATAATCTTCAAATACAAAAAAAAATCTCTTTAGTTCTGAAATATTTTGTTATAGTAAAAAATTTGTTTATTGTATTCTATAAACATGATTCGTTCAATAATCAAATAAACTGATCAGGCATGTTAGTTCTTTTTTAGTGATAGTTGCACCGCAACAATGAACTTTTCCCTACATAGTTATATATTTTTAAAGCTATAATATTATGTATTTGGATATCCCATACCGTCATCGATCGTCGTCGACGATAATGAAAATTAATAACCATTTTCTTGGTATATAGGTACCTAGTACTAATAATTAGTAATAATATTTTCGCATTCCGAAATGGTAAGTAGTTATAAATCAAATCATAGCCTTTATATTGGACGATAAACTATTTCCTGGAGAAAAAAAACATTTAATCGACGAAAACCGATATCAAATTATCCATAAATGATAAATATATAATGTTGAAGCATAACCACGATTATTATATAAGCAACATGGGCACATGGCATGGTCGTAAAATTCCAGATTTGGTTCAAGCCCGCGCATACGTCACTTACTTAACCGTATTGGTATTATCATATCGTCATTCAATTATTACTACTATACATAACACTACATCACGTGCTTACCGAAGGATCTGACCGTCAAAAAGTTACATCTTGTCATACCTTGTTGTTTATATCATGACCACGATGGCAAGTTATTTTTATTTAACAAGAATTTTTAATGAAAAAAAATTAAGAATTAAAATAACAAAAAAAAGTATTCAATAGTAAAAAAATGTATTTAAAATACCACTCAAATACTTCAAAATAAAAAGTATTCAATACGGAAAAAAGTATTTGAATACTTTTACTCAAATACTTTACTACACTGCCTATTGGCTTAAAATTGCTCGTAAAGTCGTAAGCAATCCATTTTTCCGTAATATGTATCATTATAATGCCAAAATAATAAAAAATATAAATAATTGGTAATATACCATTTTTTGATAATTTATTCAATTTTTCGGTAAACAAATCCTACACAGACTTCCCCTTCCCCTTTTTAATAAAAAACAAAGTTTTTGTTGTTTTGGATCATTGGCGACTTTCATTAACGGTAAATGATCATTATCTAGGTATTCATTTATCATTAAGTTTGGGCTTTTGATATTTGGTTTTATATTTGTAGAATTCATTTCAAGTGAGGCTTCAAAAACTAACCAATTATTATACCATTTGGGGCCTTGAGTAAAAGATCCGGACTTCCGGAGGTGCCTGGGCACGCCCGGTACCCCCTGCAGGTGTAGCCCTGATATACCTACCATTGATTATACCTGTCAGCTATGGGGCTATCTTAGGTGTTAAAGTTAAACTGTTAACCTTATACAAACAAATAGTTATCGGGTTACCGAATAATTATTCAATAATGTTATTATACAATCTATAAATCAGTGTTTAAATCCATAATTATTAATAATTATCATTCTATGACTGAGCAGTGGGAAAGCCCACCATATCATAAGTGTTGTACGTCCGCGTCATCGACCGACACCGACGACTTCGGTATTCACCGGTCTATAACTTGGAATTTGGATATTAATTATTTGCAAGGTAGATAAAATATCATATCCACCTTGATTTTGTGCTTGTTAAATTGTTGACGAGTAGCTGGTAATTTCGAGAAACATTAATGATTTATATTAATTATGGTAAATCCCTATTTCGTATTTCCTCAATAATAATATGGACCAAGCACATTAAAAATATTTTATTAGTATCAACTAATATAAATAAAAGTTATTATACAAGAAGATCATACTCAGTTATACTCTGTTAAAAACGTACAATTTTATCTAACTACCTAGTCACTAAATTCAGTTTTGGCTATATTCATTGTCACTTGTCAGTTGTCATAGACGTACTTTTGGATTTTAACGAGTGATTCTGGAGTTTAGGTAAGTATCATTTTGTACAAATTACAAAGCTTTATTAAATACTTTATTGCCTACCGATGGCTTAAATATACTAGGTTATGCAACTATATCATTTTATCGCTTTTATTACTGTATTATAATTCGATTATAGGCAATAATCATTTTCTTTAATGTATATTATTTACTTTAAAAAAAATGGTTGTTTTATTTAAAAGCATTATTAATTTTGTAACTAATTTATCTGTATAGATTTAGGACACCACCCCTATTCACTCATCAACGCCCAAACCAAACCCCTGGGTCTACATACTTAAAATTTTGTATAGAGGTTCCTTAAGCAATGTAGGGGTGCCCTAAGAAAAGGACTTTTCAAAATTCGATCTCTAAGGGGGTAAAAGGGTGGTTTTTATTATTTATTTTTTATAGTGATTACTAAGTATTAAATTATGAATTGCACGTAATATTAGCACTATTAATACAATTAAATTAAACACTGACACGCGGCCTACGAAAATGCCAACAAAGAAACTAATAAACGGGCAATGCTGTGACGGGACAGCTAGTAAAAATAAAGATTCAAGTTTTTTTTAAAATTATTATTGGTAAACAAATTATATTTTGATACTACCCAAAAATTAATAAAAAAATATCGGAAACATATAACCCCCTGCAAGTTGAATATTGGTAATTTGTATTTTCTAATACATATTTTTAGGTGGGTGAATAATCAGAAATATTCATAGCGACATATATTTATTGGATATATTTCTACTTATATATTATGGCTTATAAAAGGCAGAAGCCATCCTATACTGCAATTATGTTATATCAGGGCACATTAATGTCTCGATTTTTGAAAACAGGTTTTACTGTGTTTTTCTCAAGTTAGAATACTACAAATTTATTTTTGGCAGAGATTCGCTAATAATTTGAGATTGTAATAAAAAAATCTAAGTTCCGATCGAGATTGATTAAATTATGCACTTCATATCATGTTAACATAATTATTATTCTTAAGCAAGTAAAAAACTTAATATACCGCTGTAACTTGGACGATTTTTACTTAATTTTAATATTTTTGTTTAAGAAACTGTTTCAAAAAATTTGAACAATCAAAATTTACCAACATAAAAAAAGGTTTTGGAAAAAAAATTGAACCTTATGCCATTCAATTACAATTTCCATACATATTAGTTATTACTTATTACTGTAAAAAACGTATACTGATTTTATACTGAAAGTCTAAGGGTGATACAGGATTTTTAGGACATACACATACTGTATATACATAAATACGATGTACCTACTTAACGGTATTATTTTTACTTACTACTAAATGTATATAATTCAAAAATATACAGTTAAGATAAAATGTATGACCTTGTGAAGATGATAGGCGGGTACCTATCTAAAATAACCTGCAGTGGAAGGACGTCTGTCTGTGGCACCAAGTTGTAATGATTAGTTAATACTCAACATAACCATACTTTAATATGAACATGAACTCCATACCCTCATATCCATATGCTAATAACTAATAAGTAATAAGTAATAGGAAGTTAATACCTTTACTATAATATGCTAGATAATATGCGCATAATTATATATTATTATTTTGTGTTGTACGTGATAGTGGTGATACACCTACACCCACCACCTATATATATATAAAGAATATATAAATAGTTGGTGATAAATAGTACAGAAATAGACAATTTAGTGTACCAAATTGAAGCCTTCGCCGGGGTGAATGTTATACAATAAATTATATAATTTAAATTATAATATAATAATACATTTCATATCATAATAGGACAGATTTTTTTAAATTTAAATTAAATTGTTCGGGTTCCGGCTTTTTAGACCATCCATCCATTAATTTATATCGTATTACACAATAAACCTGCAGGTACCTACGTTTTAACGAGAAAATATGAACCGCGGATTCGTATTTTGCCCGCCATCGGTGGTCGTTATTCTCGTGCTGTCCGTCGCCGTGCATCACGCGTGCGGAGAGTGCTGGGACACGGGTTGCCAATCGGAATCGTGGCTGGTCAAGGGCTGCGAGGAGTACGGCATGAAGGAGATAAAGCGCAAACCATGCAGCGGTGGCCACGTGTATTCATGCTGTCACCGACATAACTCGAGCTCGGAGAAACTAAGCAAAATCGGAGACCTCACCTATTACAACTTGGGGTTGACGGCGTGCGGCCAAGTGTACACCAACGACGACATGGTTGCGGCGATAGCTTTCGGTCATTTCAAGACGCCGAATCCCAATTTTGATCCCATGTGCGGAAGACGGGTGAAAATAGTCGACCCCGTGTCGGCGAAATCGATCATTGTGACGGTGAGAGACAAATGCGAAGGCTGCAAGACGAATGATATAGACGTGTCTCCGTCTGCGTTTGAAAAATTGAAACCGAAAATTGTTGGCAGATTCAAAGTCTCTTGGGATTTTATTTGATACGCGTATTATTATGTCCCATTTACGGTTTAACCGTTTATCGTGCGGACTATACCTAACTTATGTATTTTGCGCCGAAGTACCTCACCGGAGGCTTCTTCACTCACATCATCCAAGATTGAAGCCACACTTATATAAAATATCCATTATGCTTATTGTACTTGAATGTGTATAGATTGTATAATTGTCTAAATTAAAAATAAAATTTTTTTTTTTTCACAAGTGCGTATGTAGTGCAGTAAAATGTACCTACACATATAAATGATATCTAGTATCTACCAATAGTATGTTTTTTGTAACTGTAATACCTACATAATTATTGCTGTATACAATATGAAATTATTCAACTTTATAATAAAACTCATAAATAAATTATTATCTATATGCGTATAATTATTGTGTTAAAATATTATGGCATTTCTTATAATTGTCCTTTGTAATTTTTTTCGTATGATAAAAATAAAAAATGTAAATTACTTAACATTCCATTGTATATTGTAATATGTTACCTGTTAGTAGTTAGGTAGTACCTACTAATATTTGGCTGTTTTTATATTATAAATCATTATATTTTTGGTGGGTCACACTGCTGAAGTGGTGTGGTTAGGAAAAAATTAAACAAAATTATCATATATTTCATTGTTAATTTGTAATAGTATTATCTTTGCTTTTATAGTTTTATAGTCAATATAAAATTGATGAACTTCATACATAATATAAAGTGTATATTTTGATATTGCACATTTGAAAATTATGTTTAATTAATTATTAAAACATTTGTAGATTAACTCCTATGATATCAATGCAATGTCTACATTTGAAAACTATTCACTATAACAGCGCAGAGCAGAACTTATTTGAATTATCGAATCGAAATTTTGAGGATGGATTAATATTATAATGTCAAGTTTCACTAAGAAAGGATTTTTCAAAATGTCAAGACTTTAAAAGTTTGAAATCGGCAAAAAAAATTGTTTCCATACAAATTGTACATCTATAAACATATTTTACTGCACGACGACCTGTTGGTCTCCATAGCGACATGCAACCATAACTTTTTGTCCGCCTAACTATGTGTTTGATCGGCGAGTAGATATGAATTGTTCCAAGAAGTAAAATTCTACAATCTATCTATGTATATACAAATTAATCCCTATTTCCTTAGTCGAGGCATCACGCTTATCGCTTATCATTTAAAACAGATCCATCTATCTTTCATCTATGATATAAAGCAGTTAATTTATACTTTTTTAGTTTCTTAATTTCACAATAGAATCAATCGGAGATTATAATGAAAAATTTTACAGTGAGTTTTTTGATAAATTTTAAACAAACTTAAGTCACCCATCCGTGGGCCGTGATCAGTGCTTATTTTCCACGACATTATTATATACATATTATATTATTATTATTACCGCCTTTAGTATACCGATAGGTCAAGGGTCACCAACTGGCGGACCGCGGTCCCATTTTTACGGACCATTTTTTTAAATTTTTTTTAAATTTTTTTTTATTCGGTTTGACAGCTAACATGGTTAGGGGGCACTAAGCACTGACATTATGCCCCCTGCAGAGCATATTCCCTCTATATAAATTATTGTACCTACTTACATTGTGGTTTTGCATTCTCATGTAAGTACACAAAAAACAATTTTAGATCACGGTTGACGGACGATCGTCTTTGCAACGTAATTCAAAAATGTAAAGCAAGGCTCGTCAAAACTAAAAATTGTAATTTTCAAGTACAAGAAATATATGGTTTCAAAAACATTAATACTTTTTGAATAATACAGAGTGCAAGTTAAATGAATCACTCTGTAGTCTGTATATTATATAGGTAATACGACTTTTGCAGCTTCGGCCGGTATAATCGAGCTTTACGGTAATTATACGGTATATCTATAATACGGTCCACGACGAGAACACGTAAAATCACGTACAGCCCTACAATCATTAATATTATAATTTATAATAATAATATATAGGTATATATTGCACGAACCTATTCGATCCACGTCGTAAGAAGACGACAAGCCACTATTTAATTTCACGTTCCGGACGGCATCGGATTATTACTATAAACGACAACGATCTATATGGAAGAGCTGCAGTATGTATAGGTATAGTACTCCTTTCACAAATACGTTTAAATATTTTCTGGTATCACGATAATAGCTGTCATTGATTATAAATACTAGTTTATATAATCAATGTAGCTGTATTCGACTGAAGTGTCGTCGGTATAAACGATTACACACACACACACTGACACACACACACACACACACGCATAGGAATCAACGACCATAAAGGAGACACGTTAAATAGACACGTTAAAATGAGATCTGCAGACCTTCGATGTTATTCTATTCGTCGATAAATTTACCAATATTATTATTTATGTTATAATAATGGTTAGATTATTTAAATCAATATTTCATTCCTCGCTTTCTCGTCTTCGCGCGTTTTTTGCCCGATTATCTTATGGTGAATATTATCTAAATATTATTTTTCTGCAACCCTCCCCCCTGACCCGATGCTAAAGAGAAAACTGTAACTGTCCGAAGACAGCTGCAACTGCAAGTTCGACAGTTTGTGGGTATGGACTATGGACTGCAAACTGCGCTATGCGTATTGCGTATTGATATAGTGTAGGTATAGTACTTTAGTTGGTATTCGTTAGATACGGTCGCTACGAACTAAGGTATACAACTAATAACTACGCATAGTCATGAGCAGTTGAGCTTTGCACACCACAATATGGGCTACCTGGATGTATGTTTTTATACAGTCTCGGTACAGACCAATGCAAGTACAACAACCGAGTTTATACTTTTTAGTTATTGTTATAACTATTATAATACAATATGAAAGCTGCATGATCGCCACCGTGCAATACTCTCAACTCTGTACGACTGTACCTACATGCGAAAGCAAAAAGATAAATGCACCTAACAATCATAAGAAAATAGATCATTTATTGTAGAGTATCTTCATTCTTCATACTGGTGTGTTATTGGTGGTAAACTGGTAACTATTAGATGTTAAATTTAAACTTTGAACGTATAGTTTGGTACTTTAAATGATACTGTGCATTTAAATTATGGTCAACAATAATATTACATTTATACCTACCTACATCGAATAAATTTAGTTGAATAAAAAAAATCTCTTTGTTTTGAGATGTGGGCAAAATCAATTACTCGCCTGTTTTTTAACATTTTTCAATGTCATGACATGCTCACGAGGAGTGAAGAACCTGTTAAGTCATAATAATTCAACTCATTGTTTGCCTGTTGTCGAATGGTTCAGGTTCAAATTGCATAAATCAATTTAGCATACAGTTGCGATTCGTAACAATTTTGTATAAGTATACACAGTATACCTATACATTAAAAAAAATGTATTAAACATACGCCATTATAAGTATATCTGTAGAGAGTAGAGATATAAGCTTCTTATTACATTTACACGTTGAAGTATAAAAATAAAAATATATAATATATTATTATATTAATTATTAATGTGGGTATACTTTAATATAATAATATCATATAATACGTGTAGGACTAACCTATAAAAATAAATTATAAAGTATGTATATATATTATATAGATAGGTACCCCCTAAATCTAACCTAATGTGCTATATAGTTATTACTTATTTTACATATTATATTCCTTATTTATGTTGCGAAATTCAATTAATTGAACAATTATTGTACAGTAATATAGAACTATATTATAGAAAAAATAAAAACATTTTTCTCTTTAAAAATTACATAATTAGCTAATGATATCTGCAGATAACGTTTCTATACTTATAAGTTATAATTAAAAGTTCTACGCCCAAGTATTAAAATTATATATCCATACGCGCGTGGTATTAGTCTTAAAAAAATTCGTCATCAGTAGAAGCTACTACACTCAAAATAGACTTTTCAGAAAAAAATACTCACTTTAAAATGCTCATAACTTGCTTTAAAACTAAAATATAAAACAAAAACGTCTGTGCGCCTTAGATAATATTATATTCTATGATAATATTCTTACAATCTTACAGTCTTTATATTTGAATATTTGATAGTAGATAAATTCATTCTATAATATTGAAAAATAAAAATGATTTAAGATGGATTATTCTGAGAGAACAATTTGCTTTGTTAGCAAGGCGGAGACAACTTACACATGTGGGTATAACCACAAGTCCATAACGTCGTCCAAAGTTAAGAGTCAAAACCACTCATTACCAACTCAACATTAAGTACACAGGATCATTATTATGAATTTTCCACAAAGGACCCCTACTTAATTCCACTCTTGCCCTAAAACCTATTTATTTATAACTTATAATTTATACATACATAATAAAATCACCAATAGGTTCTTAATAAATATGACATATTAGAACGTGAAAAAAAATTCTTTTACCACTTGAGGTGACTTCACGGACCACAGGTATTGAAACCACTGGTCTAAGCTATAATAACTGCAATATGGTAGGTAAAATGTATGTAGGTATATAAATATGAGTATTAAGAATATTATCATTAGGTTTTCAATTTTCTAATGGAGTCATCTAATGATGAAAACGTTTGTTCCATACTAAGATATATTTTATAGGAAAAAGATATGATTTTTGAAAATTGTATTTTAAATAAATTTATATTTATTTATTTTTATTTTTATATGCATATGATATACATATATATATAATAAATAAAAATCATGTTAAATTACAAATACCTACCCCAAATCTATATAATTATACATAGCTACACAATAAACAGGCCGGTGGTTGCTTAAGGGCGAAATTTGACTTCGTACATGGTGCTCGAATCAATGACAGGAACCGTACCGAAAATAACCGGTTTTGGAACTGGAACCCTTTGAATGTTGGGAACCGGAACCCCGCCGGAACCCTTATTTAAATTAAAAACCGGAACTTAACCGGAACCGAAACTCATTTGTAAATGTTTTTTACGGTTGATTTCGGTCAGTGTTGAAAAGCTATTTTTAGGGATTAATTTATTTTATCTCCCTTCAAAGTGATATAACATCCAAAAATTAAGAAAATCAATTAATAGTTCGTACAAATAGATTGTTTGAAAAGGAAACAAACGAATAAGATTTACTATACCAACCTAATATAGTTTACATTTTTATAAGTTTTGTTATTGTTTTGTTTTGTTTTATTCTCATTCATTGTAATATGATGTATAAGTTATCATTATCATCAAATATTCAAAGGTCATTTGTTTTATTTTAATTTATATCTTACAAATGTTATTATTGCAATATTGCATTATTAAAAATTGTAATTTTTATCAAATTGATTTTTTATGGATGAGTCACCATTA